TGCGTATAAATTGCAGATTTGTCAATAAATCAAATCTGATGGTCGAGTCGTTCGTAAGCAATTTTCTGTAGATATTTTTGACAGTATCAGTAATCATGATCAATTTCTTCCGAAAATCATATTCAGTGATGAAGCAATATTTCGTGTTTGAGGAGAGGTTCATCGAAATAACTGCACGATTTGGGCTCCAGAAAACCCACAGTTTTGTAAGGGAAATTAAGGGCGATAGCCTTTAGGTTAAGGGTTGATGCAAACTAACTCATAACAAAGTGAAGGGTCCCTTCTGTTCTCAGATTGATCATCTATTGATTCGGATGATTACTTCAACGTCCTGAGATTGTTTTCGGTACCGGAATTAGAAGAAATGAAGCCAAACCTTTTTCTTCCAGCAGAATGGGTGCCTCTCTTCATTGGACTACACATTTACGTGGGCCTTGATGAAAAATTTCCAGATCATTGGATTGGTAGAGGTGGACCAATTTTATGGCCATCCCCGTTCTCCAAATGTCCCACCACTCAGTTTCTTTCCTGGGAATACTTGAAGAACCGAGTTTATGTTGAAGAAATTAACTGAAATTAATTTGAAGAATTAAGAAATCGAATCACGCTAGCAACAACTACAGTGACAACGCAAATGCTTAATAACGTCTGGGTGAGGGAACGAGAATACAAGAAAATGCTATGTAAATTTCATCGATTAAATCAAACAGTATTGTGAACAATACTACACATTAAAAGAATGGTGAAATATGTCACTTTGAGAATGCAAATAGAAGTAATTATGCATGTTATCATTACGCAGTATTTGCTAGTTCGTTTTGTTTTCCTCATTTATATAAATTTCTTTAAAACTGTCGCCGCGAGCAACAAACAAGAGTCTTTAATCCTTCACGTTGTAGGGTTAAGCTTGATCTGATAGTAGGTAATTTAATCCCATAATCTTAAGAGACGTGAAGCGAATTACCGCTATGTCTGAGAACAACGATTTGAGAAGTCCTTTGTATTTAAACGGAATGTAATGCATAACGGCACTCTCTTGTGCTTCAATTACAACTCGTAATTATGCAAAATAAATAGAACAGTCCAAATTAAACATAGCTTTCTACACTAGTTAAGACCTACACAAATAAATAATACACTGGAACTCTACCAGAATGTCAAAGTGTCGGCAGCGAGAAACTGTAAAGCCGAATAATTACAACTATTAGAGTTGGCAGGAAACTAACCACACAGTGCGTACGAGATGACAAATCCACTCTCCATCTTAAATCCAAAAATCTCAGTTTAACTACTCGCTACTAATTTGCATTCTGGTAAGGAATACTGAAAGGAGAAGTTATATTAAAGCCTAAAGTTGTAAATAATTGGTTAATTAACATAAGATTCTCTAGAATGTAAACTGAAAATATATCAATGAGAAAGCATTTAAGAAATCCAAACGTTTTAAACGTCCATAGTTGCGCTGCTCGTTATATTACATGCGTCCAATATCTTATAGGCTAAACTTGCAAAATAATCAGAGATTCGATGGTGCTTTTCAAGGGAACAAATTCAATACTGGAGTTGTTGAGTACATTGAAGTTTTATGAATTGAAACATGAATTTTCCCTTGAATTACAAAAGTATACCATTCCTGAAATTAATAGTTCATTACATAGTTTTTGAGATGTAAAAGAGGCAAGATAGTTACATTACGTGACTTTCGGGAAAGATGGGAGTTTCGTGGAGGTCTGTGACTTTCTTGACGAAGACAGAGGAAGCGATTATAGCTTTGCTGAAACACCATCCAATTTGTTAACATATATCTTCACATGAGCGGAAAGTCAGCACAATGTAAATTTAAAGTGCCGTATGATCGGTACGGTCGTTAGCGCTTGTGGCTAGTCGTATTGTTTGGCCTGGGTCCGAATCCCGGAAAGGGCTTCCATATTTATAAGTGTATAATGTCTGTGCGGCTTGAGGACACTTAAAATATCGGCGAACGAAAAGTCCTGTTAAGAGGTTAGATGGGAAACACTCAGATCCATTCTTCTGGTTTTTCTCCATCAAAAATTGAATATTTTCGGTAATGATTCCTCTAAATGACCTACGGGTACTGGTAATAGATTAGTGTGCATGTGTTTGGTCGTTTAAAACAATTAAAAACAACATATTTCAAGTAGTTGGTTGCCAAAAAAGAAGAGTTTTCGTATCTTTAGTGCTAAGGGTGACTTGGATTTGATGCGGGTTTTGAGTTAAGCTGGAATACTGTTTTGGACAAACAACGGTTTCGGCTTGGATTTTGAAAGCAAAACGAAGATATTTCTAATTATTATGCTATCTGAGAGGCGTTATTTTTATTATGTAACTCCTTGCAAGGTGATAATATGCAAGCGTTCTGAAAATGTACGAAAGGCGGAGCACTTAACCTCTCATCTTTGATCCATCTGTGTATGAAAGTAAAAGATTTCATTCAGGGAATTTATATGAAAACATTTTGCGCATTCATTCATTCTTAATCGAGTGGATACATAGCTCATGCCTTTCAAATCTGTATCAATAAAATGATAATCCAAAATCTGAGTATCTGTAGTAATTCTTAATGTTTGAGTTTGCAGTCTTGCTTTTTGTACCATCTATTTAAACCATATACTCTTCTGTCCCTAAATAACGCTATGGTTCAGTATACGTATCATGTGAGAACTACAGCGTTTGGTTTGGTACAGATTATCCAATACAAAATAAATTGCATGATCCACAGATTTTACCCAACCATACTTTACGTTTGATTATCATAAGTATAATTAGTTGTACTACAATTAATATTATAATATTAGAACTATTGCGTTTTCAAGGAGCTTTCCCAGACCAAGCAAAAGGGAAAAGAATGATATGACATTGGATAATTGCTCCGTCTGGTCTCTTAAGAAACAGTGGGACTTCGGCTATTTTGATGTCTCTTAGGAAATAAACAGAATCTCCAACAGGCTATGGCTGTTTACAGAAAATCTCTGGAAATAGATTAGGACTAGCTAGCTGAGTAGACTTGATGACACTGTTATCTAGCTGGTCAGACCCTGAAGATTTGACTTAAAAACCTCTTAAAATAATAGATCTTCTTTCAACTACTGTTGGAAGCTCGCTGAGAATTTTGTAATCTTTAGAAAAAAATTGGTATACTATAATTGCACATTGAATTTATTGATATATTTAATATTTAGTTAAAAAGAAATTGTTAATTAGTTTAGTTCTGCGGAGATGTTTGTTACAATACGTTAACAAGAAATTATATCTAACAACTCTACGAAGAAGCTTAGCAAAGGGATACAGTATCTGGGTATAATAGCGCAGAAAAATTGAAACTATCTCTGGTGTAAGAGTTTGCGCTCAGTTATTGTTATCGCTGCTTATATCAATAAATGACAGCCTTCAACGATATTTTTTCTTTTTGGATTAATAAATCATATTGCATTGTTGGCTCATTTCATACAAATAGACGATTGGTATTGTAAGGTTTATCCTTTTTTAACATTTGCCTTTAATTTAAATTACTTTCATTTGTCTTTAATTTAAGTCTTTAATTTAAGTTTTCAGCTTACAATTTACTATCAGAATGGCTTTCTAGAATGCAAGTGAGTAAGAGTGGTATTTAAGTCGAAGTTGCGCTAACTTCGTTAGAGAGCCAGAGTTTCTGACTTAGCGCGCGTGTGCCCTTTAGCTACATCTCTCTCTCTAAGCTATTGCTACACTCGGCCGTATTTCAGTCCCTTGATAGCTCGCTAGCTTATTCGATATTTAGGGGCCAACTATTTAGAAATCTTGATAGCTTTGGCTATATTTTTTTAGTTCGGCATTAGTGAAGTTTTATTTCTTATTACTTTGAATTCAAGCCCAAGTGGAGGCTTTTCTGTACACTCTGAGAAGGGGCTGACGGTTAAATTCTTATTTTGAATAATAAAGGGTAATTAACCCTTCTCGAGTTTTACATTTCTGTTTCTGAACTAAAGCGATTATTCGCTTACCTGTTCACGAGGTTTCTGCACATTTAGTTGTTAGGTAAAAGGTTGGAACCCTACAATATTAATTTGTAAGCTGAAAATCAAATCATCATCATCGAGATCAGGGGAATAGTCATTTCCATATCATAGATGATACAGAAAATATTTACCACTAATAATATTTCGTGTTTATTTTACACCACTCAGCGACTGATAGGCTGAAGAGAGAAAACAGCCTATAATAATACTTATATATTTAAATAACGCGATATTTTACTTGAATGCATATATCCAACATTAGATTAAATTAAGTTCATTCATTGTTCAATGTATCAAAACAAAACGTGGCATTTGGGAAAGAAAGAAACAAATAATTATGGCAAATTATTTTCTTGTTAATAAAACATATATTACGTATTTAAATAATCTCTGTGATAATATTGAATAATGATATAAACATGAAAATATACACATGGTTTACATTATTACCTATTACATATCTATAATCTGTTTAGCTTGTAATCTCAATATACTGTGCATTAGTGATTAGATTATTTAAATGCTATCTAGTTTTAATAAACTGCTGCCAACAGAATAACAAGATTTTATATTTTGGCGTATAATACTTAATTGCCTTAACGAAAAATTAACACATATTAAACAGTGTTGCCATTTTCTTTTCTTATAAAGCTATTTTAACAATTTTAGGAAATATTTTATGCATTTAGACATCGTAATTTTGTTAGATTAATAAACTGTCAGTTAATGAACACTTGAAAATTGCAAATTTCTAAATGTTAGAAAAATGGATATTCTTCGTGGGCCTTATAAATAAGTTAATCACTTATAAATATTAATAAGTATGGAATAGTTCTTGGAGAATTATTTCGTACATTTTTCCTCCATGTCATCCACCATTAAAATTCTTATTTGTATTTATATTCAAAAATCATATATGATTTGATGAATTTTACATTTATTAATTAGTTTATCATTTTCGTAATTTTTTTAAAACTATTTTAGGTTGTCATTGCATAGTCATTGTATTATTCGTAGCCGAAGCAGTGATCCATGCATCATGCGCAGGCCAAAGCAACGGACCATGGACTTATTACAAGAAGGACTCGTTTTTTTTACAGCCATTACATAATGGAGGATACTTGCCCCCTATTCCTATACAGCTATCACGGATAATTAGCGAGTCTTCGAATGCCCAAGGTTCTTCGTCAGATTCACTTCAAGATGAAAATAGCGCCGATATCTCACTCAGACACGAAAATCCGTGGGTTCCATTACGTAACTCAAATGGTGATGCATCTGTTACGAGAGAAATTTATATTCACACTACGTCGTCGCTTCCGTTTATTAGAGATCACACCAGTACAGCAGCGCCAAGACTAGTCACTAGGCGGACTTACTCAAAATCCACTTTTAACATCCCTCTGAAGAAAAGCATTCGAGTTTCACATCCAGACAATATCCGTCCAGCCATTAAAACTACAGGTTATATTCGTGGACCTATATCCAAAAGAATCCCGTCGACAACTAGAGCACCGATGCCAGATTGGTTTAGAGAAAGCACATTGCATTCCTTACTAAATTACAATACTTCAGAAAGCGACTGGAAACCCACAAGTTTAACCACAGCTCAACCGCTCGATTCGGTGTTTCCAAAAACTCAGCCACACCAATTTAACAGCAATCTGGGTTCGAAAGTAGATGAACATTTAAATTATACAGGTATTATGTTTGGGAATGCCTATTTTCCTCCATCAGCAGAATTCTCAAGAATGAAACTTTTGCCACAGAAGGAAAAAAATATAACAAACCAATATCTTACGGATTTGGAAATAGATCAAAAAGCTGCTAGGAAATCAAGCACTTACAGAATGCATTTTTCGCCGAATGATGTAAGAATGAATTCGACAAATATGAGAACCAATGATATGAATTCACCATTTTTTATTGAAAATCCAAATGTGAAATATTCGAGAGAAAGTTTTCCGGGAACTAATTCATATTTTATACAAACTTTTAACAAACTAAATGGAACGCAGTATCAGTCCATTGACAATCAACCAAAGATAAGTGAAAAAAAATCCGATTTCGGTATTCCAAAAACAGAAAACATTGAAAAGATGCACAAAATTAATGATCCCGGGCAAAAAGGTTTATCAGTAACCGTTGCCAAAATTCCATTTTCTGTCGGTGTGAAGTACGCAGAAATTGATTTAAAAAAACTCCCGAGACAAATATTCTCCAAGCCAGAAGAAAATGCTTCTGGAAAAATAATGAACATTGACTCGAGTACTAAGCATAGAGAACAGGGGTTATTTACACCCAATATAAGTCAGGGTCTCGAAGTGAAAAAAACAACTAATCATGCCGGATATGATATTCCCAGCCATATTCCTGTGTCAGGTAATAATGCTTTAGAGAGCCCTCAATTGATAAAAGAAAAACAAAATTCTTCTTCACTACTTTATACTCAGAATGATCCTACTCACAATTTGGCGGATAATCCTAAACTTGAAGAACTTAAGATCCAGACTCCTACAAAACCAGTAAATTTTGGAGATCCCAAACCTCCTGGATATGTAGAATCTGAGGTTATGAATGTGCCCTCAAATGGGGGTACATTTACATTTTCAAAAGACGATAAATCGGAGAAAATAGTAAAAGGTAAAATACTGCATTTAGAAGAAGATTTAAGACTTAGCCCTCCAAGTAAACAAGATATGGTTGACTTGTATAATCCTAGACAAAAAACACATCCGGAAGTTTCTACTGAAAGCAAATCAAGAGATTCAGAAAAGGCTCATCATGCTGGAATTCCTTTGCCAAAAGTTCCTTTTTATGGAGACGTGAAATCAATAAAATACTCGAATGATGGCCATTCTAAAGACAAGAATGAAGATATCTATTTTACCCCAACTTTTCCAGAACTTTCGAACCATCGAGAAAAAATACTTGTTCCTGGGCGAAAACAAACAGAAAAATCACAAAAAATTCAAACTGCAGAACATCCTTCAGAAATGGTTACATCCCACAAAGGTGGAAACATTTTTAAGAATTCGATTGAGTCTAAAAACGACAAAAGCGTTGAATATAGTCATAATAACCAGGAGAAGAATACCAATGATATTAACAGTGAGAGTCTGGGAATGCATCACATTCCTTCCAAAGCAGTAACAGCTAATGACTTTTCTAATTTAATTTTCCATACTCCGACATCGCCACCATTGATTACGGTGAAATTTAACCCTGATCTTCATGATTCCCACGATGTGATTTTAGATGCTACTGGTAGCAGAAATCGTGTGAACAGAACTGGTAATTATATACTACAAAGAAAGCCTTCCCTATTGCCTGAAGTTCCAGGTGCCAGTCGTCCTCGAAAACCTCAGATAAGAGTTACCACTGGAATGTTGGCTGGGATATTAATAGCTGCTCTTGTATTCCTTGGATTTTTAACAGGTAAGCGTTTAATGCCCCATTCACATTATTCTTTTAAGAATGACCATAGCTACTTGATGTTTATATTTTATTTTTTTTATTTACCGAAAATGTGATTTATTTATAAACTTTCACATTAGAAGAATCCATACAGTTTTGTAAATGAAAGAAAACATTTTCACACCATTAGTAACATTTCCGTAGTTTAGTCCTTAGTGTTCAAGTAATTTGGATTCCCGAGGAATTAATATCAAATTTCATCAGTGTGATTCATTATACATTAAACACATAACAGATAACGGGTTAGATAAAATTTAGAATTTATAAATATAAATGTTTTCTTCAAACGAAAGAAATACATTAATCTTCTGCTCCTTATCATTTATTAATATCTTGCCTACATTTTAGACTAAAGGACTCGAATAGCTTCTATAGCTATATTGTTTTATTCCATTTATGTATTTTATCATTTGATTTAGTAGTGAATTTTCATTACCCGTTTGTTTTTTAAATATTTTCTTTTAACATTGTTTCACTTTCCTTCAATAGTTGGTGGTAGGTATCACTTCAGTTTTAACTTAAAAATTCAGTTGAATTTTTAAAATTTGGTTAGCTTCTCATACTTATTGTCGAAGAAAACTATTTATCCCTCTCGGAATGCTGTAAAGTGTGTTTTCTTTCTGTTTTTGTCAGTCTTAGGCTTATTATAATATCAAAGAACGACATCAATTTTTAAAATTTGGTTAACTTCTCATACTTATTGTCGAAGAAAAACTATTTATCCCTCTCGGAATGCTGTAAAGTGTGTTTTCTTTCTGTTTTTGTCAGTCTTAGGCTTATTATAATATCAAAGAACGACATCAAAGAAATATCAAAGAAACGACAATGTAAATAACGACATTGTATAAAGCTTCAATGTAAATAACGACTAAAAAATGCAAAAGTCTTGTGTGAAAAGAAGAAAATAAGACTGAATCAAGTGCATTCTCTTAAAAGCAGTTGTCAGCTAATGAAGAATTTGAGTAAATATGTTATTTATGATCATTGTACTCAAAGTACTCACGTGTAAAAACTCGGATAAAATTTCTCCTTAGCGATGCTTTAAAGATTTACAACGGACAGATAGAGAGGAATCTTAATTTTAGCCACGCGAAACAATCGATGTCAAAATTCTTTTATTGGGTTAAAAAATGCATATTTTATGGTGAAATTAGCAGTTCCTTCTTAATCCATAGGTTATGATTCGCTTAAGCATCTGCTGTTTATACTTTCTTTCAAAAATTTTTCATAATGATTATTTTTAAATTGTGCATTGTAATCGCAGCAAACAAATATTAACATAATTTACACTCGACAAAAAGGTCATGTTACCGATGATATTGTTATTGTACGTTATGAGCAATTTTGACATCAGTTTTGAATTAAGCTTTTAAAATGACATTAAGGACTGCTTCTCAAAGGTTTCCCAACGCAGATCTACGCAATTGTTTTATAAAAAGTCTTTTAACAGCATATATTATATACTTCTGTTGCCTAATTATTTTTCTTTGTTTTCATAAATTAAGTTTATTTGATTCAATTAGTTATATATTTTTATAGAAGGGCACTTTCTATCCTAGAATTATTTAATTTCATGTACGAATATTTCCGAAATGTTTGATGGTTTGAGTTGAACAGAAAAATATTTTTAGCAATTTACATATATTTCCAAACAGAATATGAGCAGTGCAAGTTTGTTTAATTATGCTAATTAAATCAGTATTCAAAATAAAAAGAACAAACTATAACTATGGGAACATGAACATCATTAGAAAGGAAGAAATTAAGAAATACATGATCACGATACCAGCGATTATCACTATTGCTATTCACTGTATTTTCTTTTCCACATTTTACATTTTCCATTGACGGGTTTCTTTGATTCTTATATGATAGCAATTTCTTCGAAATTCATACCATAAATTGTTTTTTGACAGGATTCGATCAATTCCTTATCTAGTTAATCGGAGTTCACCGTAGTAGTATGCTTCTAATGTTAAAACGAATTGCATTTTTTTCTAAATTTTGAGTATTTATCAGGTTAAGGTAATTCGGGTTATTATTTGAAAACATTATCTTACGTTACCCCTTTCATGAAATCTCCATGAACGCAGCTGCAATTTTAAAATAAAAAGGGCAATGTTACTTCAAAGAAACAAAGCAAAGTGTCATTCCAATTTCTGGCAATCTACTTTTAAACTAAGCATTCAGTTTCATTAGGAAAGTAAATAATTTCAAGATATTTTTTTTATTTGCTGGAGCTATTTGTTTAGAAGAATTATCAAGAGCTCGTATCTATTTAGTTTTTAAAAACAGATTAATTTATGTTTTGATGCAGAACTAATGAAATTGACTCACAAAGAAAGATATAGGGCATCGTTTGATATACACAACAGTGCAGCTCAGGGAACCCAAAATTTTGAAATACGGTTAATTGAAAATAAAATATGTTATATTAATTAATAAATAAAATTAATTAATTGAGGATGGCGAAGGAAAACTGAGAGCATTACAAATTTTCATTTAAATTTCAATCGATGAAACTAATTTGCTTATTTTGCATAATGGCGTTTGAAATTAACATGATTTCCGTGGCTTGATCTTTACTTATGGTATACCCTTTAAAATTATTTTGTATTATTCATGGATAAGAAGGACATCAAGAAAGATGCCAGTAATAAAATATGATACAAAAATCTTCGCTTCGCGTTCAAGAAAAATATGGCAAATCAAGAAGAAGCACATTAAGAAAAATGCTAGTGATGAAATAATAGTAAAATATCTTTGCTTCGTGTTCGAGAAAAGAATGACGTGTCTAGAAGAATGATGAGTCTGCGATTATTTTTATTATTTTTTGCCTTTATTATGGGTACTTTTTTCTCTTGTTGATCGATCGGATATTTAATTTGAAGTGATCGTTCAAGGTGTGTAAACATAATCGAAAAAATAATGTGTTATCTTTGATTTCGGGATGCTGTAAAAATGAAAATGATTTAAACATGCGTGGCGAATAGGTGAGAAAAGTAGAAACGATAAATTAAAATCTACTTCTTTCCACGTTTTTGTTAGTCAATCAAAAATAATTAACTAAAGAGCCAAATGGCCTTTGGTTTTACATAAGAAATATTTAAATGAGTAATATTATTTTATTTATTAAATGAGTAATATTTGTTTTACATAAGAAATATTTAAATGAGTAATATCATAAAGTACTAAAGAACTAACTTTTATAGGGGTTTTATGCTATAGTCTTATCCAAAAGATTGAAGAAAATAGCAAAAACGGATAAATATTGGTCTTCCCTCAGAACAATCGAATATTTAATAGTTTTGAATTTAAAAAGGGCACCTGTTTAATATACATAAAGAATAAGAAATAGAAGTTGCGATTTCAAAATTTACGCGATAACATGGCTAATAAATCGGGAGGTTCCAGTTTTGTATTGTGGAATTTATATTTCAATTTTACTATCGAAATGTTATTTATTTTACATCTTTTCTTTCTGCCACATTTTGGCACGAAATTATGCCAGATTTTATGTAAATTTGAGCGGCTAGCAGTTTTAGAAGAATTACGAATGGATACGGGTGACAGTTTTAGCCTCCTAGCCGCAACTGCCTCGTTAAAACTCATAACTGGTTGTTTTAAGTTTCAAACACGACTCTAAATTTTTATTTGTTAGTTGGATTCTTACTGTACTTTTAATTATATTCATGCAAGAGAACGCTTGCTCTCAAAAATATGTCGATTCGAAGATAGTCAGCACTCCAAATGCCAACTTCTTCACCTCACTGTAGCAATCTGGAAGACTATTCCATGAGTTGAATATAAGTGCCTCAACTCGCGGCATTTCTTTTAAAGCTGACCACTTTTGTTGCATTACGTACATTCATTTCTGAACCTCAAACTCTTCCAACTTGCTTTTCAACTCTGTAAATTTTCCACTCCACAAAGCTTTACTTTTTAAATCTATCAGTTACATTTCTAGAGATTCAGTATCAATTACAAATGGCTCAATGTGGATTTCGTTACTATTTGTGTTGAGAAGATTTACTATGAATGCTAGAGTGGTTTTGTTGGTTTTGAATTGCTCAAATCTGTCAGCAAATTCATCTTTAAAATTTTTTTATGTAACTGTGCTGAAGTAGTTTCGTGTCAACAGTTGCACTGGTTTTATCGGCGATAGTTGCTTTAGAAATTGAAAATGAATGTAATTTACCGCTCTGAATATCTTTTCTTCTTCTGCAAAAAAAAGAATTAATTTTTGTTTCAAAACAAACCTATTCTTCTTCTAAAACATAGGCTGGGTTTCCCTTTCCTTGCAAATTTAGATTCAGCTCATTTAATTTCGCTGTGACATTTACCATAAAGTAAAATTTTTGCAACCATTTGTCGTTCTCTAATTGAGGGTGATTAATGTCTTTTTCATTTAGGAATGTATTTATTTCATTCAAGCACAAAGCAGAACGTTTCAACACCTTTCATTTGGAAAGTCATCGCACTTTTATTGTGAAGAAGGATGTCGGAATACTAAGTCTCCATTTCGTTTAAGAATTCTTTAAACTAACGATGGTACAGTGCTTTTGACAAGATATTGTTAACAATCTTGATTACCAAATTCATGACCTTAACTATTTCGGGCGGAAATGTTTGGGCACAAAGCGCTTCTTGGTGTATTATGCAGTGAAACGTAACAATTTCGTGGTTTATTTTGCTCTGAATAATCGTTGTTGCCTCTTTATTTTTTCCTGTCTTACTTCTGGCTCCATCAGTTGGTACTGAAACGATTTTATTTAAATCGATTTTACTGTCTTCTAGGCATTTTTGCACGGCATTCGCTATATCTTCCCCTCTATTTTTTTCCGAGAGCGGTAGCAATCCTATAAGTCCTTCTTTTGGATCTTGGGAAGACATATACCTGACAAAAATGGCAACTTGTCCGTGTCTTTTATGTCGCAAGACTCATCTATAGCAAGTGATAA